GTCCTGACTCCTCTCCTTTCCCTATCTCCCACTTTACTTCCCTTCGTCCCCTCTTTCCTTTCCCTTTCCTTCTCCCCTCTCCTCTCCTTCCCCTTCCCATCTTCCCTCTCCCCTCTCCTCTCCTTCCCCCTTCTCCCCTCTCCTCTCCTCCCTCTCCTCTCCTCCCTTCCCTTCCCTTCTCCCCTCCTCCCCTTCCCATCTCCTCCCCTCTCTCTCCTCCTTCCCTCTTAATTCCCCTCCCGAGTCTCCCCCCTCTCCTCTCCTCCTCCCCTCCCCGTTCCGCGTCCTGGCTCTTCCCTGTTGCAGCAAACACGTTCCCGGCTCCTCCAAGCTCGTTAAATCGAGGCTCCGAGCACTTCGAGGCGCGCAAAGGAGGCGTCCAGCTCGATCATCACGTCTTAAAAGGAGCCTGCGGTGCTACACAGTATCTACACACTGCAGCAACGAAATCCTAGTCTTCTCTAGATCACACACACGCGCGCGCACACACACAGAGAAACACACACACACACACACACATTATATGTACACCCCTCTGTCTATTCTTTGTGGATAAAAATAGAGCAAAATAAAGCGAGCGAGGCTAGGCTCCCGGCCGGCGGACTTGGCGGACATCGAAACCGAAAGTGAGTTCCCCGGCGTCAGGTGCGGCGCGCTGGTAGTTAGGCCGAGTCTCCCAAGGTCCTTTTAATCCCCGCCCTCCCTCCCCCTCTCCCTCCCCGCCCTTCCTTCCTTCCCTCCGCCTCCCTCGCGTTCTCCTCGCCAAGGCATGGGGAGAAAACCGCATAGGCCTATTTTCTGGAAGGTGTGTGGTAATATCCTCCCCGCCCGTCCAGGCGTGTGCAGGTGTGATGAAATCTCGAAGAATCAGGACGTGACGAAATGTTCTCTCTTGTACAACTCCCGGCGGCGTCTCCCTGGGGCAAGGACAAGGCTACCCTGCCAGCCCGACAAAGTCACTTGGATCCATCGGCGTAAAGAAAGCATCCCTCCCTCCACCGGCGTCGCGACCCTGCAACAGCCTACCCTTAAACCCTAACGAATGAGAGCTCGCCGAATGGCAGTAGCATGACTATCACTTCGTGTGTCTCCCCTACACGCCCATGGCCGCCGCGCCCTTGGGATATGGAATGGACAGGCCTTCCCCTCCCCGACCACCACCCATGCCTGAACGCGGAGAGGCCGCAGGAAACACGGCTAAAGAAACGTTTCGTCGACCCCGCCGCCACCGCCGCCATACATAGTTGCTCGCAGCGCCTCGCGACCTTCACTCGTTTGGCTGTCGTCCGAATCCTTGCGCGGACGGCTTGGCTCGCGCCCTCTTTGCCTTCGCAAGGTCCAATCCTTCCCACAAAAAAAAAAAATTCAACGACGCTCTTATGGCAACTGCAATTCCCGAGTCAAAAACAAATGCATAAAACGCCGGATGATTTAAACGCGTGTTTTGAAGACCGCCTCGGCGATCCGGAGCAGCGGCGACGGCTCGGACGGGTGGGAACGCAGCCCTGAATGGACCGCCTCGCCCGCCGGCCGCAGGTGCAACCCACGCCGCCGCGCGAAACCTGGCCGCCCGCCGCCCGCCCTGAGCCTCGGATCCCTATCGAGCACAATTACGCCAGGATAAATCGCCTTGCAAATCCATGCATCGACATTAAATAACAATAATCATCCTCGTTACTCGTTTGACTGACAGCACCTTTCATCGCCGGCCACTTGTCCGTAATGGCACAACAACGATCTAAATCTCGTTCGCGGGTGGGGAGGGGGGGGCCTGGTATGAATTATGCATCAATGACTGAAGATGGAAGGGCCTGCAATTTCTTATCGTCACTCATGAAGAGCAAATAATATATATACAGTGATACAAAAATGATTGGGGAACAGAAACAAACTTGGAATAGACAACAGAATGAAAAAGAAAAAGACACGTCAGCATTTCAGCAAAGGAATTTATCCTCTTTCTCGCCTCCTCTCCCTCCCTCCCTCCCTCTCTCTCTCTCTCTCTCTCTCTCTCTCTCTCTCTCTCTCTCTCTCTCTCTCTCTCTCTCTCTCAACCCCGAAGCGAAAGCGTTTTATTTCTCCATAACCCCCCTCCCCCCCATTTTTTCCGCCCGAGACAACCGACCACTTCCCACGTCCTTCCGAGTTACACACGCACAGAGACACGGACCCTTCACGCACGCACGCACACAAACACTTACACCAGGCACGCACAAAGACCCAAAACACACACACACACACACACACAGATAGTAGAAAAACACACACAGATAGATAGACACACATACAGATAGTAAATAACACACACAGATCCACGCACACACAAATACACAAACACACTCCATCCACGCACTCATAAATCATACACCTACAGCCGCCATCCCTCCCCCACCCCACCCTCCTCTCCAAGCACGCCCCCCCTCCCAAGCAACCGTAAATCGCCACCCATTTTCTCTAATGCAAACAAGGTGTTACTACAAAATGCTACACGAATGTAGCGCCGACAAAACCCTTAGCGTCCGGATAAAATAGCAGGAAAATGCTACACTCTGTGGTTTAGTGGCAGTCGTGAGGTTGGAGTTTTCATATACATTTATACATTATTATTATTATTACCACCATTCAAATCATTACAATTTTCATCAAATCACTGTCATTATCAAAATCATTATCATCAAAATAATCATCTTTATTATCATCATTACTATAATTTTAATAATATAATTATCATCATAAAAGTTATTCCTCTTAACACCATAACTATTGATGTTTTATAACTATCATCATATCTATAACAATAATAATAAAAATAATAATAATTATCATAAATAATCTATTCTAATAAAAGTAATCATTATCATAAATAATTTATTTTAATCATGAAATAAAGCACTCCTATGAAAGGGTAACGAGGAGAATTCTAAAAAAGATCAATTAAAAGGAAAAGTAAAGCGGAAGAAGGAAATGGTAACGCGGAAAGAAAAAAAAGAGAGTCAAGGGGAAGAGGAGGAAGAGGAGGAAGACGAAAATAACGATAACACTAAGAAAAAGACGAAGAAAAAAATTAAAATCCACCCGCCCATCTGTGGATACATTCTTAAGGTGGCGTTGAAATCACCCAAAGATCTTACATTTCCTCTCTGCTTTTTCCTCATAAACCAAACACATTGAACCACACAGTTTAGGTGCAAATGTCAGAACAGGAATATTGGGGGAGGGGCATCGGAGGGGTGGGGGCATCGGAGGGTCGGAGGAGGGGGGAGGGAATGGATCAGAAGGGAGGGGGAATCGGAGAGGGGGGTATCAGAAGGGGAGGGGAATCGGAGGAGAGGATCGAGGGGAGGGGCATCGGAAGGGGGCATCGGAAGGGAGGGGGGCATCGGAAGGGGCATTTGAGGGAGGGAGGGGGCATTTGAGGGAGGAGAGGGGGCATTGGAAGAAGGAGGGGCATAGGAGGGAAGAGGAGGAGGGAACGAACATTTTCCCAACACACCTCACAAGTAATTACCAAAGACGCTGCCTTTCTTCAACCACCAAAAACTCCTATAGTCCTTAGAATTGGGGGGGAGGGAGGGGAGGAGGGGAGGAGGAGGAGGAGGAGGAGGAGGAGGAGGAGAGGTGATGGAAAGTGGAGAGTGGAGGGGGTAAGAAAGGGAAGGGAGAGAGGTAATAAAGAGAAGAAGGGGGGGGCGGCAGGAGAGGGGGGGGGGGTGGCATTATGAGAAGCAGCTTTTAAAATGAGCAGCTACCATACCAGATCCCGCTGACATTTTCCTTAATAATCCCCTACAGAGTCCGGGAATCGGCGATAATAGTAAGATTGGGGGAGGGAGGAAAGGGAGAGGAGGAGGAGGGAGGAGGGAGGAGGAGGAGGAGGAGGAGGAGGTAAGGGAGAGGAGTATGGAGGCAGGGAAGGAAGGAGGTGAAGAGGGAGGAAGAGAGGGGGAAGGGAAGGAGGAGGGGAGGGCAGGTTTAGGGGAGGGAAACGGGAAGAGAAGGGACGATAATCACCCTCTAATTATAATACGTCTTGGTGAAATACCTTTCCCGTGCTTGAGGTGGCAAAGGTGACGAGACAAACGCCAGTCCTTATGAGAGGGGAGAGGGGGAGAGGGGAGAGAGGAGAGGGGAGAGGGAGGAGAGAGAGAGGAGAGAGAGAGGGAAAGAGAAGGAGAGAGGGGGGGGAAGGGAGGGACTGCTTCACAGAAGGACCGAAACAACAACAAAATGACAAACTAAACCTCTTCAGATCTCCTCCCACACCCCGCTGTCCTCCCCAAACCCCGTCAACCCCAAGCCACTAAGCTGAGAGTGACTAGAACCTCGGACGACCACGGGCGCCGAATTCCACGGGGGGGGGGGGGGGGGTATCGAAAGCTCGCCCGTAATCATCGGCGCGCTGTATCGGGGTTCCGCTCCACAAAAACGGGGTTCCGACGGGGATATCTTGGCCGGAAGTTCATCAGGACAGCGACCGCACGCACCGCCGCCGCCACAGCCGCCGCCGCCGCCGCCGCTACGTACAACTCCGGACGTGTAAACAAACAGGTTCTTCGCGTATGTCGTATGTCTTTCTTTTACGACCGTATGTTATGCTACAAAACACCAAAGTCGTTTTCTCCAACATTTCCGAGTATATACCCGTTTATAACGATCCTCTTGTTTTTTTTTCACTGCAACTGGCTATATTCACTGCACTTGACAGCGCCGCCAAGGGTCACAGCGCAACTCTGATCAATCATTGCCAGAGAGACGTATTCAAGGCACGGCGCATGCGTGTCTAGCCTTCCAATAACGCAGTCAAGACACGACACGCCGCCATTCCGTTAAACACGAACCGATCGTAACTTTCTCATTAAGTCATCCCTCTTCATTCCAGACGCATATGTCATCTAAACAGAATCACTTACAATTAAAACTATCTTTTTCTTCGTTCTTTTTTCTCGAGTACGTTCAACAGACTGAACTACATGCGACACACAAAGCAAATTGGTACTTACCGTCAGCGACCATACGGGCGAGAATCTTGCTCATATCTCTGACTGAGCGAGTGGCCAGTTCTTCCTCTTCTTCGGATTCCAGGTCGAGGACTGAACGACTGAGTTAAGGAAATTTCTAATATAAATTTAATTGGTTTTATTACCATTTAAACAGAGCTGGAAGGGAAAACAACAAAATTAGTTTTGTTCACACTACATTCCATTCCAATCTTTCAAGACATACTTCTTATCACATTCTGCAAGGCTCCATGCATACCTAAATCCACAAGTATAAACAATGTAAGCTGCAACTGACGTCTATGATGCCAAACAACTTTTAACTTATTTTCCATCTCATTCTTTCTTCTTTGAAATCGCTCTAAAATTCCAATCCGTCAAAAAAGGAAAAAAAGAAAAAAGTCAACACCTCCGCTTACCCCAAAAAAGTAAAACGGTAAGGAAAAGAAAGAAAGAAAGAGAGAAAGAGAGAAAGGAGGGTGGAATCAAATTATTTCTTATTTCGAGCGAATGGGATCGAATCCTTGCCCGAGAGAAGCGTCTAAATCTATCCCAAATGCATTAATTTATCATCCTAAGTTCCAAAATGGGGCCAGAGTGAGAAAAAAGAGAAAAAAAACAGTGCCAAGTCCTCCTCGAAGTCTTGAGCCACCATCATCAAGAGATAATAATCCCCATATGCAAATGAGACAAAAGTGATCAGAGCATACCTGGCCGTCGGTCGCCATGACAACGCCACAACAACTCCTCACCGCCCGTGGTTCACTGGCCTCTCGCTCGCTAACCCGGCCCTAGTAACAGTGACCCTTCGCCTCGCCTCCGACACACACAACATTGCATGCGGTCGAGGCCTGTGTCTCCCCAATTAGAAGTGCAGCGTATATGGCTTGCGGTGACAGCGGACAACGACAACCGATGACACGCAAAAACACACATTAAAGAAAAAATGATCGAAAGATAACCCTCGTTAATTGGAATGAACTACGGGAGAGAGAGAGGGTCTCGGCTACTGCTATGTTGCGTGGGTGCAGCAACCCGCAGGAGTGGAAGAAAAGAGCCAGTTTTTTGGGTCGGCAGAAAAGCCAGTTTGGCTGTATTAATCCAGCGATCCTGGTCGAAGAATGTCGGCATTTGGACGAGAAGGCGAATCCTTCTGTGTTCTTTTTCACTGCGGTCTTTCACGGAGAAAATTCAAAGATGATGCTATGAAACTCACTAGAGAGAAGGTCGAATTAACTACAAAGAGAGAGAAAAGGCGAAACAAATCGCATGCACAATGGTTTCTCATGGGTCTCCAAAAACGTATTTAAAATCAAAAGTCTTCCGAAATACTCCAGCATACAAAACTGAACGCTTTAATACACCGCCTTTTCCTACTCTCCAACAAAACAACATACCAACATTACAAATAAAGAAGAGCAAAATACAAACAGCATAGGATAAATGGAGGAGCAGAAAAGTGAAAAAAAAAAAAAAACAGGAGAGAATCCGGTGGACCCAAAGCACGCACGAGGACGCAGGAGCCCATACACCTGACGCAGCCTTGCGTTTTCATCTTTAGGGAACCTGTTTCTACAGTCTAGAGGAGGAGGAACAGTGTATCTCCCGCGAATGCTATATTCCATTTCCGAAAGTTCTGTCGGGCCAAGAGGAGGGTTTCTTCAGCGCCCACGACACGAGGCGAGGCTGACGGGCGTGGGGCAAAGCCGAGCCGCGCGCAGGACGAGGGAGGCCGAGGGAGAAGTGACCATACAGGTTCTGGCTGCGGCTCCAGGCACGCCAGCGCCTTCCTAGCTGGCGTCCAGATAGCCTTGCAAGTGCCGGTTGCTAATGACGCCGTGTTGCATTTACCCGCGTCGCATCTCTCGCCCGGACGCAAAAAGGCCATCGCCCAAGCGACGCCGGCTCAGGCGCTTTCAGGTTTGTCGGCGGAGGCGCGACGCGCAGGAGAACCTGGACCAGGCCTCACCCGCTCGCCTCCGCTCATCTCGACCGATTCAAGCACCTGCATGCTCTGCCGCCACCGCCGCGCCCTACCCGCGAGCGCTGACCTGACCGCCCTTCCGCAGGCGGTAATTACTCGACAACTGCCATGAACATTCAGGACGTAATACAGCTTCCTGCACCTTCAGCAGCGCTCCCGCCTCGGGGCTCCGCCTCCTAATCGGTAAACAAAACCCGTATGTCAACAAGTTGTCGCGGATCCTATCCAACCAGATCAACCGAGCCTGGAATCCCTCCTATCCAGTCCTGGCCATTCGGATACACCGTGAAACCACAGCGTGCAATTAGTTTCTCGTCCCCTGCAACTCCATATTATATAACGTATATTAACCTCTCAACCCCAAATCAGCCGAGGCAGCAAGAGCAACAGGTGGTCCCTAGAGATGGTGGTTGGCGCTGGGCTGCGCCTGTACTATGAACTACCTCACTCGAGCTGGAGGTCGCTGCTCCCAGCGCAGTCACGACTTTTTGCCGCCTCGACTCGCCGCAACAGAAGCCGCTCCTGCTTCAGCCCCGAGGCCCTTGGAGCGGGATGCTACAGCATGCAGCAGCGCCGACCAGGAAGCCTCGTTTCAGACGGCTGTCGTCGCACGGTAGGATTTCGGAGGAGGAGCCAGCACAAGGCGCACAGAATCAATAAAGACGCATCGTGGCTCTGCGTGTCTGTAGGGGGGGGGGGGGCATGTTGACATGCTCGTGCGGTCGCAGCATCGAGAGCATCGGGGCAGCCTCGGCAGAAAGACACCGGAAAAAGTGGATCTGCGCGAGAGTTCATTGCCTCGGCCGCTGCAAGAAAGGTCTGCGATACAGCGCAGGCAATATCGCATGTGCAGGCGACGTGGGTGTCGTGCGGGAGCAAGGGTTCCGGGCCGCGTGCCGTGCCTGCTGACGACAGTTCAAAGCGGCTGCGCCACGGAGCGAGGATTTACTGTTCGAAAGCGTAGAGGTCCGCTTTATGAGCCGTGCCGTACGCGCCTCGACGTGCAAGCGCATGACTTCGCGAGCGAGTGTGTCGGTTGTCTGTACCCAGGGACAAGAATGCGGTCGCGAGGAAAAAGAGCGCTGCTCCGGCGAGAACCGCAGAGCCCGATGGCGGCGGAGAAAAACACGCAGTACGCGCATTAGCGACGGCATTTGCTTCCTCCCTTCCTTCCGCGCGCAAGCCACAGTGTGCCATTAGGTCGTCTTTTTTCCCGGGCTCTGCACCGCCAGGCGCTCTCGAGTCGTCGCCCTCATCTCGCCGTCGCCGCGAGCGCTCGCAGCTACGACGCCTCTCCTCGTCGGCGGCGGCGCTGGCGGTCGGGTCGCGGGCGTAATTCATACATCCAATCCCATCCTTATAAGCGGCCTGCATGACGAATCGCTAATGAGCATCCTGAGAAGGCCCGAGTACCCAACGACCTCGGGTTCAGCGCGTGGTCCTCGCCGCGCAAACGAAACAAAGCTTTACACATGCGAGGCGACCCCGACGCCTTACGCCCTCGTGCTTGGCGTCCCGGCGACGAGGCAACGACGCCGTGACGAAGGGGGATCCGCCGAGACGACACGACGCTCCAGTTAACCTCCCGCGCTCCGTGAGTGGTCTCTCCGGGCATGTGCCAAACTCCACGAAACGCCTCATGAAGTTGGATGGAAGCGTGCCGTCTGACCTCGTGATTTGACTCGCATAAAGGCACAGGGTCTTCTGCCGCCTCATACAGCCATGTCGTGTGTGTTAGGAAGGCTGATATGTGGCTTACATAATCCAACATGATACTGGTGCACTATGACCTGATATATGTCGGGCAACCCTGCCTTGCAACTTTCAAAACGACATGCTGCCTTAACCCGTCTTCTCAGCTCTCTCCCATTCCCTCTCTCGGGCATAAATACACATATATTTGTACCTGCCCACCTACTTAGCACTTATTTTTTCCTACTTATCCACCTATTTGACTATATATATGTGTGTCAATACAAAATTTCTATGAAGATATTCCATATTCACATTTTAGGATCTATTAGGCAGAAACCAAATTTCATATGGGTAACTGAAAAGGTCGGCGGGTTAGTGAGAGGAGAGCCTAGGGTGAAAAAAGGGTGATAAGGAGGAGAGAGGGAGAAGGGAGGAAGGGGAGGGGGAAGGAGGGGGAAGAAGGGGAGAAGGGAAGGAGAGTCAGAGGGGAGAGGGGGAGAGGGGCGAGAAGAAGGTTGAGCAGCGTGAAATCGGGCCAAGCGTGAGATAACTGGGCCAACATAAACACGATATCCACGACGTCGACCTCCCTCTCTCTCTCCTGCCTCCCTCCTCCACCCCTTCTCTCCCTCCATCTCTGCTTCCATCTCCGCCTCGGTCTCCCTCTATCCTCATCTTCCCCCTCTCTCTCCCTTTCTCACTCCCACTACTCCATTCTATTTCTCAATCAGCCCGCTATCTTCCTTCTCTCTCAGCACTCTCCTTCTACCTCTCAATCTCTGTCCCTCTCCCTCCCTTTCTCTCTTTCCCTCCATCTCCCCTACCCTCTCCCTTGCTATACAAATGAACAAATTCCCATTAAACGGAGGCAAATCACATGCCCCACAAGCCAGATGGTGGGGTAAAGGAGGGGAGGAGAGAGAGGGAGGAGGATGGGAGGCGGAGGAGAGAAGAGGAGGAGGAGGATGCGAGGCGGAGGAGGAAGAGGAGCAGAGAAGATGGTGAGAGACAGGCGAAAACAGCCAAGAAAGACAGCGGTTTGGCCACGGCGGGCGATTACCACGAGAAAAGTTTTTTTTTGAAGTTGAGGAGGCAGAGGAGAGGAGAGGAGGAGGAAGAAGAGGAGACGAGGAGGAGGAGACGGTGGATGATAGAAAACACAGAAACAAACGAAATGCACTTAAAACACAAAACAAACGTAACACCTCCACCTAACACCTGCCCTTCCCCCTACCCTCTCCCGTTCCCCCCACTCCCTTCCCTCCCTTCTACTTCCCCCCCCCCTCCCTCCTCTTCCCCCTTCCTTCCCCTGCCCACACCCCTCCCTTCCCACCCCTGTCCAGGCAAGAGGGTCATTCACTGAAGCCCCCGCCTTCCTCTTACTGAATATTCATGTCTAGACAGATAACTTCCT